AAGACGCACGCTGCAGCTCTGGGAGCAGGCACCGGCAGCCCCCCTGCAAGAATCCCACCTTACTGAAGACACACAGAGATGCCCAGGTGCTCTGGGAAGACCCTCTCACATTGCCAGTCTGCACGAGGGTTGCATCTGCTGCCTCCAGGCCTAGAGCTGGCAGGAGGTGGGCAAGGGGTTGAGTGGGCAGTTCTCGAACTCTGCATCACAGACGGATCTTCTGTGTCCTGAATTAAACAGGAAAGACTCAGGAGAGAGAAGGAAGGTTTGTGAATAAAATTATTTGTGCCAAATGGGAGGTGATGCTGCCCCGAGGCAGCAATGCCTGAATGTACAAAGTATTATTTTTTAAAAGAAACTCTGATGGAATCATACTAGAAATACCAAGGTACAAGGCAAAGTCTGCTTGTGCGCAGCCCTGCGAAAAGCCTGGCCTCTCCGTGCTCCATCTGCATTGTCACGGGCCTCAGACCTTTCCCCAGGAAAACAAATCCGTCCAAAACTTCAGTGTTGTTGGTGCTGCTATAATTCGAAGGAAGAATAACGGCGTTCCCTCGTTCTCCACTTGGAGCTTCTGGATGGAGATGAGCATGGGTTTGTTTTTCTGCACTTTTCCTTGCTTCCCACATAGAGGCAGCAGCAGCAGCCACTTGGCTGTGTTTTCCATAGCCGTTTGCCCTGCTCTGCCTCTCCCCTGACCCCAAGGTGGAGCGGGGAGCCGATGGCTTTCTCTGCCTGCAGCAGACCCTCCCCACCTTCCTGCCTGTCATGGCGCTGAGGAACCTGCCTCGTTTTGCTCAAGGCTTTCAGGCCTCTTGGTTTGTGCCTGCTGTGCAGGGCCACCAAGGAGTCCATGCAGATTGGTGTCACCATTTCTGGACAGCATCTCGCTTTATTTTTGTGTGGGAGAGGAGTAATTTATTCTTTGGAAGGAGGTCAGATCTTGCGCAGAGATCTGAAGCTTTACAGTTTGAGAGCAGGCCACTGAAGATGTTTGTTTTCCATTCCAGACTCGATCACGTTCCCTATTTAAGTGATGTGTGACCTCAGTGATGATGGAGCCTGCTGGCACGGGTGGGGGCCTGCTGGGAACCCTCATTCTCTGCTCGGCCCCTGCTCACTTCATTTCCAAGCTCCTCCCGTGCTGCTCTAGCACTGCTGCTCCTCCTGCTCTCAGGAGCACGTCCCTTCCTTTGCCGTCTTGGTCCCCAGCAGTATTTGCACATTTGATTTGTATACGTATTTCAGAGGAGCTGGAATAAACTGAGCAACGTGGCCGAGTGCGAGGACAGCGGGGTGGTCTCATCCACCTGGAGAGCAGGGGCAGAAGGGAGATTGCCAGGGGAATGGTTACAGGTGGAAATCTGCTCACACACTCTCACAGCCTGGAGCAGGCTGGACTGCACCCATGGGCACTGTCCCGAGCCAAGTCTCTGTGTGTCGAGGCACCGGCATGCAGCCAGCCAGGGGGGATCCCGGAGGGATGCTGGCCGGGCTCATGGTCCTGGCGCTGCGTCTGATGTAGCCCAAGGATTGCAGTCTGCCTTGCTCTGAGCCGAAGGGAGAACATGGCTCTAACATGGACAAGGGATGCTCGGAGCAGGGCCCGCATGGTTCCCCCGGGCCACCTCTGCTCCCGCTGACTTGCAAGGGGTTGTGGCTCTGGGGCTGAGACCCCAGAGGGGACGTGCAGGAGGGGCAGGCAATGACCCAGGTGTGGGGCGGAGGAGCAAACTGTATGGAACGGTTTGAGACCAGGCTGCAGGCAGAGGCAGCTCTCAGGATGTGGTGCTGGGTGCTGCCCAGAGACCAGTGTGGGATGTGCCCCTCAGGAGCCTCTCCTGCGTGGTGCACCCATAGCCAAGGAGCTTGCTCAGGGGCAAGTCCTGTCCAGCTTCTGGTCATGGCTGCTGCTTGCCTTGTAGTCTGGGAGCAGCTCAAAGATCATGCCTCTTCCAGGCTGCAGAAGACATGCTGGGAGGCTCTCCCTTCCCTTTCCTCTTCCCATGTCCCTTCCTCTGTCCCTCTGGCCTCCCAGCCAGGCGATCCCTGCTCCCCCCAGTACATGCCTCCCCCCAGGATGCTCTGTGAGGTTTCCAGCATGGAGAGCTGACGTTTCCAGCAGGATTTTGAGCATATGCTGTGGCAGATACTCCTTTGAATATTCTCCCCCAATTTGTTTTTCCTGCTCAAGGAGCCCAAGGGACTGGATTTCCACAGCTCTCGCCAGGCGACACTCCCTTTGCGGTTCCTGTGTGTCAGCCTGGACCTGGAACCGTCATCCATAGAGTCCCTGCCACGGTGGCAGTGGGGGTGCCTGGGCTAGACCTGGCCAAGGTTATGGCTGGGGAGGGGTGGGCACCCACCCTCTGCCTTGGTGCTTGAACTGGGTCTTTAACCAGCCGCTGTGGGAGCCCTGGGGCAGCAGCAGGGTGATGGGCTGCATCTGTATGCTGCAGTGAGCTGAGAAGCCAGAGAGTGGGTGGCTGCAGCCAGGAGGGGGAGGAGGGGGGTGAAGAGCCTTCGGTGTCCATGCTGGGCTCCTCTCCACCCCCACAGAGGTTTGTGATGGCGTTAATTTGATTTAGTCTGTTTCATTGAGTACTACAAAGCTATGGGGCACCTTCATCTCCAACTCACTGGCTCCAGGTCCAAGGAGAGAGCATGGCCCCTACTCTGCTTTCCCTGACATCCCGGCTCCCCACCATGGCCAGGGACAGGTCCTGATGGGAAGCTGTCCCTGCAGACCAGGGAGGTGACTCCAAGCCCTTCCCTCCACCTTGGTGGGGGTCTCCAGGCAGAAATGCCTAGGCTGAATAGAAGAGCGCAAGGCCCTGGGTGACTGGTGGGTCAGGACCACCTGCAAGTAGAAGGAAAAAGAGGATGAGGGGTTGTTTGGGGGCCAAAGGCTCCCCTCTTACTCACTGTCCCATTTGACACTGGTGGGGCAAGCACTCCCAATGGAGCAGCCCTCCCACCAGGCAATGGAGGTGTGCACCCTGGCCCCGGAGGCAGTGCGCAGCACTGGGTTTCACTCCTGGATGCTGTTCCTTTGGCTGCCTCCTCGTGTGCACCTGCAGCCATCTCCCGCCCTCCGAAACGCTGCAGTCCTGCCAGCTCGGAGCGGTGCGCACAGGTCAGAGCAGGGTCAGTGGGACGGATGTGAGTCTTGGCCTCTCCCTCGCAGTGACTCACCTTTTCAGCTTGGAAGGGAGAGCCCAGGGGAATTCTCCACAGCCTAAATATAGAGCAGGGTTGCCTGGTGCCTCTGACGCACAGCGGTGCAGAAAGGCCACTTGGGTGGCAGGGAACCTGCCTAGAGAGAGGCTGGGGAAGTGCAGGGAGGTCGGGGAGCCAGCTCCCACAGCGGGATTTTGCTCCAGCTGGTGCGGAGAGCAGGTCTGGGGAGCTGCAGGCCAGCCAGCACATGCTGCTCCAGGGCAGAGGGGCTGCCAGAGAGCTGCTGCTGCGCTGACCACACCATGAGCATGGGCTGCTCGTGCATTTGTGGTGTGTAGCCGTCCCCAGTGCCCACCACCCTGGCATCGGGCTCCCTCCACCAGCTCACCCCACTAGGGCTGGCCATGCTGTGGCCTCAAGCTCACACGTGCCAAACACCAGGGAGCACGAGGCGGCAGCAGGATCCTCTGCAGCCGGGCAGGACAGGGCTATCTGTATCAAATGGAGGCAGGCAGGCCGGGGACGGGCAAGGGCTTCCAGGCTGCCTGGCAAGGGGGCGGCTGCCATGCTGAGCTCCACCGGCACCAGCGCGGCGTGTGCCGTCACACGCAGTATTACAGACGTGTCCTTCGGTGCAGGTGACTCGGGCCACTACCGAGCCCCTCTGGGTGCCAGCTCCTTGCACAGGGACTCACTTCAAAGGCCAGTGTGCTCGCTGGTACTGTACCAAGCTGAGATGCAAGAACTCAATGAGTTTTTAAATTAGTTTTAGTTTCTGCGATTTTTTTTTAATTTCCCCTCTAGGCAGGGAGGGCAAGAGTCTTGCAGGCTCCTCCAAGCCAGCTTATGTCACATCAATTCAGTCATATCACAGAAGCAATAAAGCTATCAAACAAGCTTGGCTGGCCTCTTTCTTCTGCCTTTGGCCTTTTTTAGGGGAGGGGGAGGGATTCCCCTGCTCAGGCTGTCCCCAGCCTGGTTTCACTGCTGACTCTTCCAGCACAGTAACCTGGAGGCAGCTGCCGGGAGCTGCAGCTGGCCAGTGCCACTGGCCTGGTGCTGGGGACAGGAGAGGGCTGCACTGTTCTTGCTGGTGACCTGAGGGGTGGGAGAGGGGCTCACGGGTTGGGTGCATGTCACATCGAGGGGCAGAGGGGTGAGAGCTTGTCCTGCCTGGGACAGGCTGCCTGCGACTCTGCCTGCTCTCTTGGGGACTCCCTGCCAGCGGGGTGGCTTCCCGCCGAGGGTCACAGCAGCAATAGGGCTGGGTGCGGCCCCAACAAAGGCAGGTGTCCAGCCAAGTGACCTTCTCGCCACAGCGTCCAGGAAGGAAACGGTTTAGGAAGCCAGGGACCGAGGCTGTGACCAGCTCCGACACCTGCCAGGTCCCAGCGGGAGGAGTGTAACCCATGTGGCAAACCCCAGCTATGCCACGGGGCTTCTGGAGCCACAGGATGAGTCAGGGATAGTCCCATCGCCCGGGGGGACAGGGTGGCTGCTTCCAGGTGGGTGACCAGTCTGCCAGACCTGCCCCCTCCTAAACACAAGGGGTAGCTTCCTGCCAGCACCGATGGGACACCAGAGGCAACTGCCCAACCCTCCCTGGTGTGTGGCTGCAAGTCCCAGATCCTTCCCAGAAAGAAGATGCTGGAGCTGCTCAATCCCTCCTTCCTGCCCTTCTCTTCCCAGCCCTTAAAGAGCAGGGCCACCGCTGCCATTGTGCCCCGTCCTGGCCTTGGAGGGCTGCGGAGGGGGAGAGTGCAGAGCCTGGGACCGG